GTGTTAAAATAAACCGATTGCTCCTATTTTTTTAATGTTTAGTTATAATATTATTACCAACATATGGGCAAAATTTGGGAATCATAAGTTTAACGGTCCGCTTTTTATGGCATTTTTAAGGCGTTTTTGAGGTTAGGTTTGTATGGGAGGTATCCTTTAAAGTAAATCAACCATACCAATTTTTCGTTTTCTTTTCTCGATTGATGTCCATAAATGTTGCACACGGAATATTGAGTTTGTCCGCCGACTAATCTAATCTAATTTTTTCCAAGAAATGTATGGGGCTGTACCACTGTGCGGCGCTCCACTAGTCGCGCAATGGCCGACTGAGCAAAGCAATAGCATGCCATCCTTGACGTCCGAAGTTCGGATTCTCGAGCAGGGGAAACTTGATATATTTTAATATATTTTTTTTAATTAAATTTTTTTATTCTAATCAAACTTTTTTTATAAAAGTATTTTTTAATATCATTCAATTTTAATAGTGCAAGTATTTATTTCAGGACTATGTGATTAATTGATTACACCAAAGTTTAATTAACCATTAGATAAATAACTCAATTATTCGTTTACGCCCCGTAGCACCATATGCAGTCTATCTAACACGTTTACTCGCACGCCTTAACTTAGAAGTCATATTATTTAAAAGTAATCAAATATTGGCGTGGGAGATTTTTACACAGTATTCCTTATACACATATACATACATATGTATATTACTTTCTTCATGTACATATGTATATAACAATACTAGAACGAATTTCGAGTTTGCCTATAACAATTTCAAAAATGGAATTTTAGTTTCTCAAATCATAGTCACATTTTACTTAATGTAATTTTTTTTCATTTGGTGACACACTAGCTCTATTACACTAGATTCGTTCGTTTTGCCCAGGCGAACATTTTCACAGTTTAATTTTAACATTTTGAGATATCTAAAATTATTAAAATTAAAAAAATCATAAAATTTGAAAAATTATAAAAAAAAAATTAAAAAATGCTGCCATTTTTTTTTTTAATTTCATGGTAAATTTTTGAAACTTCACAGATATGTTGTATTTGACATGAACGTCCATTGCCACTTATATGAACATTCTATTTGAAAACTTCCTAAAGTTTAACAGATAAAAAACAAATAACGATAAAAATTTTTTGGAGTGACAATGAAAAAATTAGTAATTTTAAGGCTAAAATTGTGCAAGTATTTGATTTATTTTTCACTGCATTCGTTTCTGGAAACCCAATGATTGAGATAAATGCAAGAAGAATGCATTAGTGTTTTTTTTTTTGCCAAGAGAAGGGAACGACACCAAAAACCAATTCTGGAGATTTGTTTATATGTACACATAGTAAACAAGAAGTTAGGCATTTTTCAAAGAAAACCCTTTTAAAGAGCAAAATTCATTTATTTAAGTTATCATATTTTAAGTAGCTCTATTAGTTTTGGTTTTGAATAATCAAAAACTTGATTACATGAGAAATTTGGTCGAGTAATCGAATAATCCCTAATTTATTTACATAAATTTTTCCTAAATTAAAAAAAAAATTTTCAAATTTATAATTTATGTATATTGAAATTGATTTAATTTAAAAAATCTTAACCAACACCAAGCCGTTTTGAACCTCAGCGATCTCAGCGCCAGAACCGATAGTCCTAGCGCGACGCCACAGCCGACATACAAAAGTACGATAATCAATTAATTGCCTTTTATTTTTTACTTTGAAATATAAAAAAAATTTAATTCAAGTAAAATAAAATAAAAAACTTTTAATTTTTAGTGACTTCAGCAACCGTTTACCGTTTATAAAAATATGTTCGAAAAAAGCTTTACTTTTCTAAACTTCCCTTGCTCGACGCCTATATTCGTTATTTAAATTTATTTTGAATTTCTAAACAGGTGGCAATCGTCTTCAAAAATCTTTTAGAAATTTATTTTTATAAACCCTCTCCTTTGACACAAATATTAAAATAATTCATCAGTTTGCTAATTATATGCCTTTAGAACTTCTAAACAGATGGCAGCCGCCTTCCCCCCCCCTCCTCCCCTTCAATTTTTTTCGAAATAAAGTTTTCTTAAACATCTCTTGATAGACACAAATGTTCAAATATTTCATTGGAGTTGTTAATTAAGTGGCTTTAAATTTTTAAGCATGTGGCAACGCTCGTCAAAAACTACCATTTTAAGTTCAGATTCTTAATCAGCACCACGAAAACCCGCGTTATAAACATTTTTATGTCCATTAAATAAGTTGAACACATTTGTATCACATTTTAGCGGCTTCGCCACACTGTGCAAAAATTGCAAAGTGGACAACCTGTGGCAACTGTGGAAGCGATCAGCTGTATCGAAGGCTGCAAGTGTTTGCTGATCGTATATATTGTTCGAAATTGTCGAACTGGTAAGCCATCCTTTAGCTGATACTGGTTTGTGAACTGGTATTTTTACTGACTGATTTGGCTTTTCGCTGCAGGGTATGTATGTATACAGTTATGTGCATGAACATATTCCTTCATTCAAGCAATGCGCATAAAAATCAAACTACTGTGACGCATCCCCATTTGTCTTGCTCTTTAAAAATTTTGCTGTTGACTTAATTTTTTTTTCTTACATTTGTATTTGGATTGCTTTAGTGCTTTTTGAATGTTCCTGTTTCGGGTTGCTGGGCTGTCATTAAATTCACTGAAGCTGCAACAATAGCTGCGTTATACGATATCCCTACATCCAGCTGCAGTCTACAGTATGGAGTGGTAATGGCAAAATGCATTTTGCAGCTAAAATGATTATGCTGCTGTCAATAACAACAACAACAACAAGCAATGAATGCCATTTCCATGCTCCAGACCAAACAAATTACAAGCTACCGAACAATTTTCAGACATACATATACATACATACATACATGGATGGTGTGGGTAGAGCCAACAATGCTGCAAGCTTCCGATTATATAAAAATGCATACTTAAAAATATGTGCATATATGTATGTATGTACATAAGTACTTAGTATGTAAAACCGCATTAAAAATATCCAAATTAAAAACAAACAAATCTCCTTTCTTCATTTCCCCATAAATATTTCGAAGCGAATAATGAAATGTAAAACTAATGTGCACAATTATTACTCTTTGGATCCATCTCAAAGTGCTGCTGTAGTCGGAGCACTGTTGTCGCTATCCGGCATACTAACTTTGATGGGGAGGCAGCTCCTCGCTCCTCTTGCTGTGCCGTGCAGTGTTTAACGACGCCAATCACACAGCTGCAATTATGCTTTGTGCAGAAATTCTCGGACTGACTTGGTAATTCAAAACTTAAATTTGTAACAGGCGCGGAAGACGACGGCGACGGCGGCGGCGACCACAACTAAAATAGTAACAACAACACTAGGTAATACGAATGTTCGCTTTAAAACCGCACCGAAAAATCGTAAATTATGCTTCATAAAAACAAAACAATGTGCGCATGCGCGACGTTTGGCATGAAGCGTGCACAGTACGCGCCACCAATAACAGCAATAAAGGAGACGTACTACGAACTCTGCGCCTGTGTAATGCAACTACAATTTGTCATCAAGCAGCACAAAAAAAAAAAAAAAAAAACAAAAAACACACAAAACAAGAACTACTAAATTAATGACAGCACGTAAAAGTTGAGATTTAATACGGTCATATGTATACTCGTATGTAGGCGCTGTTAGCGACAGCAACCCTCAATTCACTGGCAATGGGCGCGATGCAACTAAAAGCTGAAATATTGCCAAACCACGATTGGAGCGAACGCTATAGCCACAATGCTGATCGCATGCTCGAATATACGGTGGCGGTAGCTGCCGCGAAGCGTCGGACATGAAGCGCGCACGGGCGCCGCCACCGCCACCATATCGCAAGCGACTCCGATAACGCTGACTGCTGCTACTCCAAACTCGTGCAAAGCTCTTGCCAGCTGACATTCGGCAAGTGCGCAAAGCGAGCGCTATCGCTGGCGCACTGGCTAGTGGTTGGCTCAGGCTCTTACGAACCACTTTCCACTGAGCCCCAGCTACTGTGCTGATATGTATGTATGTACGTATGTGATCGACGTTGTCACTTGCGCTTCCCCAATGTCAAGCAAAACATACATTTCTATGTATGTATGTATATAAATAAAAATAATAATCAAATTTACCCTTCGTGATTTGTGTTGACTTTGCAAAATTTTGCATTTCATATGAAAATTTCACTCTGCCAACGCCAGCTTTTACTCCACTAGCTCCACTATCACTTGAGCATCTGGTTTGCCGCGATCGTTCTTTCTTTTTGCTATGCTTTACTTTTCCGTACTACTTTCATCAGCATTTTTATTTATCGCTTACTAAAGTTCTTATTTCAAGTACAAGTGCATTTGCATGTTGACTTTCTTCGAAGTTCTCCGAAATTATGCTGATACAGAAATGCATACATACTTATATGTTTACATACATACATACATATGTTTACAATCGTGAATTGCTTTTGCCTTTTTCAAAGTCCAGACCTTAGTCAATATCCATTGACCAATGTTGAGTGTTATGTAAAGTGTCCGTTTTTTATGACTTGCGCTGCTTATATTAATATTAAAATAAAAAAAAAAAAACAAAAAAAAAAAACAATTCTAGTTATTTGTCACCGTTTTATTTGGTTTATGCAGCTACCATTTTCACGTGGAACAGAAAACTTGGCTGTATTAAATAACCAACTCAGGGGTAAGCAAATACAGAACAAAATAAAAAGCAAAAAAAAAAAAACCTAAAACCGATGTATTACATTACAATTAAATTAGTAGCATTTAGAAAAGTTCACACAGTTCCAATTCGTTTTTTTATCATTCTTCCGCTGTTACCGAAGTAGTACGCTTTTAATGGATTGGGAACTGTGACCAGCACTACCATTTCTATAAAATTAATTACTCAATTAAATTGAAAATAGGGTTAATATCAAGAAATAGAATTTCTAAACTTCTTCTTTTTGAAGTGGAACTTCTTTAGCGGCGATTGGTTGGTTGGGAGTAAATTGGCAAATGCAACGGAAATCGCACACGGATATGGTGCAACGGAAATGGTTGGTGCTGAAACAAGTGCTTCAGTGGGTGTATGCATATGGTATTAATTTAACAAAAATGTTAAAGCATAACTCTTAGAAAAGGACCAATACAAGAACGAAAGTAAAGGGGAGTACGTACATAGCTAAAGAAAAGGATAAAGGCAAAGGTAAAAATAAAAACAAAAACAAAGATGCGTAAAGATAAAGGCAAAAATGAAGATCAAGGTAAATTAAAACACTTCACTCATATACATATAAGGGCAACGGTGAAGGGTATATGTAGATGAAGAAAATGATAAACATAAAAGTAAAAACAAAGATGAGGATAAGCATACCGATAAAAGTAAAGACGAAGATAGGGGAATAAAGATTAAAATAAAGGTATTTAAAGAGGAAAGGATATAGAGAGAGAGACACAGAGACTCAATCTGGGAACTATTTTAGGATTTTAGAAATTTTCGGAATTCTCGAGACTTAGTGATAAAATAATCGATATTTTTATCGGTTTTGGTTATCGAAATTTTTATCGATTTGGTTATCGAAATTTGTATCGATATTGTTATCAATTTTGCTATCGATATTTTCGGCACTTATCGATATAATAACCGACATTTTTTATCGACATTTTATTCGATTTGTTATCGATTCTGTAATCGATATTTTTTATTTTTTTGTTAGTGACATTTTTTATCGATTTTGTTACAGATATTTATCGATTTTGTTATTGTTATTTATATACAAATCGGTGGAGAAGCTCGGCCAAACACTAACATATGTGTAAGCGCTAATCTATTAGTATTATTATTATTATTATTTATCGATTTTGTTATAGATATTTATCGATTTTGTTATCGATATTTATCGATTTTGTTATCATTTTTGTTTTCGATATTTATTGACTTTGTTATCGATATTTATCGATTTTGTTTTCGATATTTATCGATTTCTTATCAATTTTATTATCGATACTTATGGATTTTGTGATTGATATTTATCGATTTTTTTATCGATATTTTTATCGATTTTTCTACCAGTGGTATTATCGATGTTGCTATTGAAATTTGTATCGAATTTGTCATCGATTTTGCTATCGATATTTCTATCCTTTTTGTTATCGATATTTTGTTGGACGTTATTATCGATTTTGTTATCGCTAGAGTATAAAGATAAAAATGAAGGTAATGGAAAAACAGAATAACATGAACGTTATTAAAACGAACAGGGGTGGGGGTGGGGTCTAGATAGAAAAAAGAGAAAAAATATAACCTTAAGCAAAAGCAGATGTGTGTATGTATACATTGGTTATGAGACAAAATATATAAGTAACGTAAGATTCACTACTCCAGTGTGGTCCAGGCGCCCTTACTTTTTTGATTAGGGGTGGAAGTTCTTTAATCTCGCTAGCTGGCGCCAATTCGAAATGCCTACGAGAGCCACGGTCCAGTCCACATGATCTTTCAACCGCAGAGGAGGTCATCCCTTTCATCTACCACCACCATCAGCAGCAGGTTCAGAGGTTTCAGGGCCAGACGGAGCCAATGTATTTTAATTCGCTACACTGCGGCTATGTCTTTGTAAAGGCCTTACAGCTCACTGTTCCACCGTCTGCAGTACTCTCCCTCACAAACCCGCAATGGGTCACAAATCTTCCCAGGCCCAGGCTTTTTAAGGGGCCTGATAATTGCTAATTGATAACAAAATATAGACAGGGTGTCTGAGAGGTTCAGTTCTGCGGTTCTTATTATTTTCTCCATTATCAGACTAAAGAAATACCCCCGATAAGACTTATGGTTAAATTATTAGTTAAACTTAACTTCAGAAAAATTACACAGGTTTTTTCTTAGCAGCGGTCGTCCGTCGGCAGGCAGTGTCAAACATCCGGCGTAAAACTGTAGGTCCCTCCGAATTACTGGAATCGGTTCACGCGGTCCAAAGTTATGCGGTGGCATGCATAAAATAAGAAATAATACTCCGAAAAATTTGCTCGAGATATGCTCAAAATTCCTTGGAAAAAACATTGATGATTTTCTTTTATGATTGTCAGAATTAAAAAAAAAAGTAATAAACAACAGGTTATTTGGTTTTTTTGGTAGCGGTAACAAACTAAAAAACGGTTATAAATGTGCGTGGACAATTAAAAGGAAAAAAGGAAAGTGCACTTTTTTAATTATTTGTGTCTCCGAACGGGTAAAGTACGATTTTTTTAAATATGACACTGCGCGATAGTAAATATTACACACAAAAATCAATATATTCGCGACACCATGGGCCAAATATAATAAAATTGCGTTTTCAGCTTTTCACTCTGACGACAGTAATTCAAAAATGTTTTGAAATATAAAGTGAAATGTGCTTAAAGAAAAAGTATGGGTATCACATTAAAGAATAAATTCTGAAGAATTTAAACAGATTCAATTTTTCGGTGAAAATGTCCTTTTAAAATTTTATCCTTGGAATTTCGCAATATTTGTTTTTGAAAAAAAAAAATAAATATGATAAGCACTTATATAAACCCGAAAACATCTTCGAATTTCGTCCTTCTAGCTTCATCAGCTCAAAAAATTACCTATTCGTCCTTGTGAATCCAAAAAGATGTAATTATTTTAAATTCTAAAGAAATTTACTCCATAATTTTATTCTGCATTGCATCGAATCTTTTAAATAATTTTTGGAATTAAAAATATCTTTGAAATTACAAAGTTATTTAAAATAAATCATAACGTCAGAGAGAAAAAATAAAAACGCCACTTTAAATAAAAAAGTAGGTTTCAAACCCGTTATTTATTATTTATTTATGTTAGGAGAGCTTCTCAAACAATATAGACGCAATTTTTTCGATTTAAGTTATTGAAAAGTAATGAATATCTAAATCCCGGGATTGTAATAACGACATCCCGAAAATACCGATATCGTAGAAAGCGCGAAAAAATTAACATCCCTAAAATGAACACATATAGCTTAAAAAATAGTTTATTCTTGGTCACATTTATACCATTTAATGAGACAAATATTTTGATTAAGTCTTTCCTAGCTATAATTCACTGTGCAACATGTTCCCCCCCGTTTTAATAGGTTTATTTACTACGCCCACACATGCATACATATGTACTTATATGCAATACATACATACCTACATATTTGTATATTTACATATATATGTACGTAAGTCTGTATGTATGTATGTGCACACAATATACATAAATATTAATTCCAAATCAAAATTTACTTTCACACCTTCACTAAGAAATGCAAACAAAATTTTATCCTAAACAACAAATATTTTTTAAGTCATTCTAATATTAGCAGATAATGTTGGCAAATAGAAAGTAAAAAAATAAATAATTGGTGTGAGAAAGGCAATAAAAGTATACTATACTCGAATTAGACTAGGTGAGAACAATAATAATACGGCTTAAAAAAAAAAACACACACACACAAATCGCCCGCCGACGCACAGTGGGAAATGTGCGGAATTAATTCAAACTGTCAAAGATTTGCAAAGTGCAAATTAATTTGAAAAAAATGTACACGGATGGCTTCCTACATACCATTCCTATATGATTTACTAAAAAAAAAAAACAAATTGAATAGAATTAATTTTGCAAGTAATTAGCTCGAAAATCAAGCCATAAAATTTATATGAATATAAAATATGTAAATATGAATGTAAAAATTTTGAACCATGAATATAGTGATTTGAACATTATATAAAAAAGTTGATGTAAGTTTCTTTTTGCTTATGAAAATATCACTCTGAAGAAAAGACCCAATATTACTGCGATTTTGAATAAAGAAAGTCACCACTTGCACCTACTAGGTTTTCCTTAAATTCCTTAAAACTTTGCGGTCAATACCAAACCATTTTTGGCTGCCAATATCTGCCTCGTTAGAGGTGAGACTTCAATTATATAGGAATTATTTTTCTGAACAAGTATGTTAACGGGTGATTTTTTTGAGGTTAGGATTTTCATGCATTAGTATTTGACAGATCACGTGGGATTTCAGACATGGTGTCAAAGAGAAAGATGCTCAGTATGCTTTGACATTTCATCATGAATAGACTTACTAACGAGCAACGCTTGCAAATCATTGAATTTTATTACCAAAATCAGTGTTCGGTTCGAAATGTGTTTCGCGCTTTACGTCCGATTTATGGTCTACATAATCGACCAAGTGAGCAAACAATTAATGCGATTGTGACCAAGTTTCGCACTCAGTTTACTTTATTGGACATTAAACCAACCACACGAATGCGTACAGTGCGTACAGAAGAGAATATTGCGTCTGTTTCTGAGAGTGTTGCTGAAGACCGTGAAATGTCGATTCGTCGCCGTTCGCAGCAATTGGGTTTGCGAAACACATTTCGAACCGAACACTGATTTTGGTAATAAAATTCAATGATTTGCAAGCGTTGCTCGTTAGTAAGTCTATTCATGATGAAATGTCAAAGCATACTGAGCATCTTTCTCTTTGACACCATGTCTGAAATCCCACGTGATCTGTCAAATACTAATCCATGAAAATCCTAACCTCAAAAAAATCACCCGTTAGTTAGAAAATTCCTAACCAGTCGTTTTTATTTAATGCTAGTCAACTCGGTTTGAATTCGCAAGTAATGTTTATTTCGATTTACTGTGGACCATCTTGAAAACAAGGATGTGAAAAGTGGGCGGATTTATTATCAGATTTAGCCCATTTTCCACACCATCCATTCTTGGTCTTCTGTATACATATTCCCTAAGTTTTAATGTGATATCTTAATTATTAATCTAGTTATTAATTCATTCCGCACTTCTATACAAAATTTCCCACTGTGCGATGGTGTACCGGCTGATCTGTTAAGAACTGGCTGCGAAAAGCCGGTCAAGCGTTATAAGAAGACCGTATAAGGTCCTATCGACGATACCATATGATAGGCTGAAGCCTCTAGTATCTAACCTTAATTACGTTTGAATACAGAAATCGATGAAGCTGTAGTCTGTCCGGCCATCCATCCATCCGTTGAGTAAAAATTGAAATATCTTAACGAAACTTG